TGGTATCAATCCAGATTAAGCCTCTGAAGAACTCTGTGGTTTACAGGAATAACTTAGTCTGTATTGCCTAGGTGCAGAGCCAGATTGATCTAGAACTCTCTCGTTCTCTCAATATACTCAGTTGGTATCAATCTGGATATGACTTCAGAATGTACAAACTGAGGTAGAACTGCTTGATCTACAATAATACCTTATTATGTATCTATACAGATATACATCACTCTCTGTATTTTATTAGTCTTTATCTATTAACCAAGAGACAACTCAGATCTGTCTTGTTTGCTACACGTTGATGGATTACTCTAATACTTTAATGAAGCAGAGTTTTATTCCAACTACTGTATATTTTGAGTTCTATGGTATACAGGTTAAATTAATGAACGTAATTACAAGTTTTACATAGTTATTTAAAAGCGTTGTTTGGTTTAATGAGCAATAGGTTTTACGTAGACATTTACAAGGGTAGTTAGGTTACAGAGAATTTACAACAGAATTTATCTAGGTGTGTTCAGGTTTATAAATATGGGGTTAACTACAATATTTATTACACATGTTTTAACTAATAACTATTTTACAGTGTTCACATTAGAAATCGACATAACCATATAATTGAAAAATATTTTCAGTGAATATAATAGTTAATTTTCCTTTTATATTGAATATAATCAATATTACATCAAGAATAGTTTAATTTTTTTTGTTTATCATTAAAACCAAAATTTAAATTTTTTTTTGGCAGTTATTTATTTGATTTTACCTTTCGGAATGTTAAAGGTCAATCCTGACAAAATATGTTTTCAAAAATAACACGTGTAGTTAACATCTTCAAATTCTGCCGTCTTTTTTTCAGTTTGGATCTTTTATCAATAAACACAGTTTTTGATCTGTTGTTTATATGTTACACCAAAATAGGTAAACATCATTTAGTTGTAAATATTTGAGAAGATAGGGCGTGGTATCAGTGAGAAGTTTTATTTTATAACCCTGCACTCCCTGCAGGCACACAACCAACAATTCTCATTTCCCCCCACCCCCCCATTGAAGTCGGCAACCCACCATTCCCTGAAAAAAAATAACAACTTAAGTTGAAATACTACGGTGATAGGCGATTAAATCTATATAATGAAGATGACTTAACAAGTTTGTAATCAAATTACAAATAATTACAAGCAATTGCAAAGAAGCTTTTTTAATTGACAGCTTCTCTTTGTTTCCACGTTTTTGTGTATGGCTGTGCAGTTTAAACTAGCTTGATCAAAATACAAATTATAATCGGAAGTCGTCTTCATTATATTGATATAATCGCCTACCACCGTAACAAATAATATCATTTTAAAGATTGGTTGATTCAAATCAGATTTTAGTTGATGCATATTTTCATGAGAAAAAAATTCAAAAAGATCATTGATCGTACTGTTAAGCCGTTATAATCAATAAACAGGGGTGAATACAGGGGTGGGGGCTATGGAGCTAATAGCCCCCTTCCCCCGATCTTAATTGAGTAAAGTACCCCCGCCCAAGGGCTAAATAAGGGGGGCTATTAGAGTATAACTTACCAATTCCCCTAGAATCCTTGGGGTAATTACCCCCCCCCCCCCTAGGATCTTGGGGACATAAACATCCCCGTTTAGAAACTTGATCTTCATTCTCCATCTCCATGATAACCATGAGGAAAAATGTAAAATTTTTTTTTGGCGCTTCGAGTTCAGATAATCTTACTCAATCAACTTTAACAAAGTAACATGGACAAATTTTACCCCAAAATCGAGTTTTTAATGCAGTAGTGTTCTAGCACTAAATTAGGTGTAAAGTTCTTAATTTATACCTTTAGGGTACAAATTAAGTCAGGTGAAAGCCTAAAGGTACGGTAAAGGAAGCCTTTTATTTAGTAGAGTTTGTTAATCCCAGAAATGATTGGGAAATTGAAATGAAACCCAGCAAAACCCATTATTTGATATACATCATGAATGGGGTTGTACACGTCGGTCAAGGGGGAGGGGGTAAACAAAAAATCGCGCAAAATTTTAAAATTTCCCCCCCCCCTCCCATTTAAAATCCTTTTTTACGCTCCGGCCCCCGCCCCTCACCCCAAGAAAAAAATCGAAAAAATAAAAATATTTCCTTTACTAATTAATAATGAGATGATGTAAAACATCGTCTTCAATTTGCTTTAATTTTACAATTTTAATGGGAACGGTTATAAAAGACAAAAGTTTTTGAAAATATGCAGTTTTTTAACAAATCTTCAATTCACTTTCAAATTTTAATTCATTGAATGTGATTACTGGCTACAAAAAAACTTTTCTTAATTGTAAATTTTTGTTTTGAGCATGTTTTGAGAATCATAACAAAAACGCCAAACCAAACAGTTTTAGTCTGCTGCCGAGTGCCGACAGTGGGGTTAAAAATCCAGTTTTCAAAATCCAAATCCATTCCTAGTCAAAACCAAGGAGATATTCAATATCTCCTTGGTCCAAACCAACCCTTATACTAATTACTACTGCTGAGTGTTGCCTGTTAACTGTTGGTTGAAAGGCAATTTTTAGACTTCATTGAAGTGAACTATTATATTTATTAGTTATTAGTATTTGATATTCAGACTGCTGATGTATACTTTAAGACGATCAGTAATCGACAATGCTAGCTGGACCCAAGGCTGGACCTAGTCTTTAATTGATTATATTTTATAGTAAATTACTAACATGTTAAAATTTAGTCATTAACGTGCTAAGTGTAATTTACTAAGCTGATACCGGTAATTTCCTAGTATACGATTTTTGGACCCCCCCCCTGGCCCCCCCTCCTATCAATTTTGTACATGGGTGTGACAGGAAGTTTCTTAACTTAACCTAACCCGTGGCCGCAGCGCTCGGCCCCCTAGCCCATCCCACTGATACCTGACATAAAATGACATGCCTCGTCAAAGTAACAAGCTAGAACAATTCGATAATATTGATCAAATAAAGGTTTCAAGGGTAGCGTTGTTAATCGGGCATTGCCATCTTTGGGGTCCGTCCTAGTATAGGTTTTTTTGGACCCCCCCCTCCCCCTCCTACCAATTTTGTATATGATTCGTTATTTAAGTAGTTTTAAAAAAAGAATTTGCAAAATTTTAGGCTATTTTTTGTTTAAATTAGTATATATTTAGGGTTAGGTTAGGTTTAGAGACTTTTTGGACCGAGCGCTGCGGCTTAGACAGGAGGGGACCGAGCCCTGCGGCTAGGACAGGCTAGGGGGCCGGGCGCTGCGGCCACAAGACCAACTTTTTTCATGTGTATCTTTTTTAAAACTACCTCAAAATCAATAAAAAATGATGTACAAAATTGATGAGTGGGAGGAGGGGGGGTCCAAAAATCGTATACTAGGAAATTAACCATCTTTGTATGAAAGATCACTTGAAACTGCGCTTACATTTCCAAATGATGAACGTTGAACATATAAACAAAACAACCTGAGCTGGGAATTTTTGTGTTAATTTCTATTGAACTAACTTCCAATGGACACAATTCTATATGTCTTAAAAAAGGGAATCCTAAATCTTGAATTCTCCAATAACGGCATTTAAACCTTTTACTCAAGTTCTGCGGCCATACACGTGAAGATCTCCAGGTAAGACAAGAGCTTCTAGACTAAACTGGAGATTCAACACAAAGATTTCGCTCTCTTTGTGTTAACGAGAAAGTTCTAATCATTTATTGAATAAATGTTAAGTCTCCGTTGCTGGGCCAAGAGTTATTTTTTTTCTTCTCATATACTTCATTGACTGCTGACCTAGATGATATTTGTAAATGCAATTACAGGGTGATTCATGAGAGAAAATTTTAGAATTAAATATGTTTAATATTTTTATTCCATAAAATTGTATCTTGTGTTCAAACATGAATTTAGTACAAATATACAGCTCATGTTGACCTTTTTATGTTTTTTGAATGCCCCTCTATACATTATGTCAGATTTGTGCATCGGTTAGACCTTCGGTTAAAGGTGTTTAAGGCAAGGTTGCCATGGAAACCTGTCTCTCGCTCTGCCCGGCCCAGCGAGTACTCCGAGTACACTTCTTATTGCAAAAAAATAAAGCTTTGATCCTTGAACCCTGTAACCCGTCCCGCAAATAGATTTGGCCTGCTCATAAAGAGTCTCATCAAATTTTAAGACAGGGTCGAATTTAAAGTGTCGCAACGCCTTGGGCTTTTATTTACCGCTCTAACTCACAAATGGTTTTCTGTAGCTCTTTACATGTACATTTAAGCACTATAAAGCACTTGTTTTTAGCTTTGTTTTTTTAAGAAGCAATTGGCAAAATTCTCATAGATTTTTGCTTGAAAGGTTAAGACCGTGAAATCACAGTGGTCCCTAGAAATAAAACAAATTCTTAATTTTTCATCTGCAGCTCAGCTAGAATTTGTTTAAAACATTATTTTTCAAAAAAATGTTTTTTAATAGAAAAATTCTATTTATTCCAGATTCTAAATATCAAAAGTATTTCTTCCATTCCGGAAATTTACTTAAATTTTGTTAGTTGGTTTTGTCAAACTTAATTTTGATTCTGAGTTAGTATTTACAAGCACTCTGACCGGCCCGGCCAGTCAGGAGGTCGAGCTTGCTCTTATGGCGCGGCTCGGTATCCCTCCGTAAATACTATTACAGGGTATCCATTTTCTCATTCTGAAAGGAACTGACATCGAAATTTTAAGTTACCCTTTACGTAAAGAATTACATGTCGCCCGATTCTAAATGGACCAAAAATTACGAATTAAGATTTAAAAATTCTTATCATTTAATTTTAATTCAATGAAACTAACATTACTCTGAGAAGAAAGGGAAACTATTGTTGCTAATTTCTCAATAAGATGGCCGAGGCCTATGTTTATTTGAACTCCCTGTATATATATTATATATATTATATATCTAGTATAAAGAGAGTCAAGAGAACCTAGGCCGAGGGGAAAACGGAGGCAGTTTCTTCTTCATTATCAGCTGATTCACACACCAGACTTGCCGACTCAGAATTCGCTGATTTTATTGTAGAACTTTTCCAGGTCAATAATGAAACGATTGAGAACGGGACTGTTTAGTTTTCCACCTTATAAAGATGGTTTACAGGTTCAGGTAAAACAGTTTTTTTTGGAAATAAGTTTTTGTCGCAAGCTCTGTTTTTAAAGCCCTATATCTTTGCAACCCAATATTGTAGACTTGAGATATTTCAAACTATGAATTCTTATCTTACATAATCTAAGCTTGAAATATTACAGGTTTACACAATCAGGTTGCCAAACTATAGTATTACGAAAATCTGAGTCTGTGGCAAAGACTTAATTACTTATTTCGGGAAAGGACAAATTTCTTAAAACTTACAATAAAGATAAGATGCATTTTACCCCCAACCCGCCCCCTCCCCATTCCTGTAAAATCAAAAAATGAAATGTCAAGAGCCCCACCCCTAGACAAATTCTTGTCAGTGCCTCTGCCCCCTACCCTGGCCCAGAGGTTTTCCCCCCTTCATATTGAATTTTTAAGTTTGTTTTTGAAAAAAATAATTTGAATCTTTGACAAAGTTCTTTAAAAGTTCATTAAAATATGTTTTTTTTCCCTAGAAATATTTAAAAAAAGACATTCATATATATGTTGCGTATAGCCGTCCAAACAGCTGGACCGATTGGGCATAATTTTTTTGTGAATACTCATGGGCGGTCGGGGGATGTTTTTGGCTGAAAAAAATCAAAAATTTAAAACTCAAAAAATAGTTTAATTTAATTTTTTTTCCACGGGCAACGCCGGGCCCTTCAGCTAGATACATATATATTATATAAGTCTTTATATATATATTATATTTACATTTTTTTAATCTTTGTTTTAATTATTAAAGGTCTCTCAGATTTTTTTTATTTGAAACTGATTATGTTCTAAAAATGTTTTCCAGAGGATCATTTTTTTAGATACGACTTTTATGAAATTAAAAAAATATAATTGACTTTTTTACTTCAAAGAAAGAAACGAAGACGACAGTCATTCCACAGTGTCCTGGTTACCCTTTTATTATATTTAATTTTAGACCTGTATAAAGCATTTAACCACATCTACACCAAAACAGAAGCAAGAATCTCCAAAAGCTAGGTTTGTTTTGATTGACTTATAATCATGAATTTTTTTTATACTTATTGGATATTGTTTCTCTTGATATTTGTTATTATATTATTTGCCCAGTTACACACGATATATTGGATTTTAAGAATCTAGACTACAGTTTATTTTGTATATGAATTTCATATCTTAGAAGTACATAATTGCCATAATCTTACCCTTTTCTTGAAAACTTTCGTGAAATTTGAAGAACAATAAATAATTCGCGGATTATTTATTTTATATCGGAATTATTTTTTGGCAAATTTTTTATAATCAGGTTGCAAAGATTTAGGATTACGAAAATTTGAGTTTGTGGCAAAGACTTGCAGTGCCTTTATTTCGGGATAAGAAAAATCTCTTATTACTTAAACAAAAATATGAGATGTATTTGACATTTTGTGGTAACTAACATGACACGGGGGGGGGGCCGTTTTATGTTAGTTACCACAAAAAGTTTGGGCCCAGATCGGTTCAGCCGTTTAACAGACAAAAATACAAGTTAAATCAAAATAAAATTAAAATTTACATTTAGGAGAAAAGTTGAAGGATCTGGGAAAAGATGGCTCTCCTATCAACCTGAGGGAGGTTTAGGAGAAGCAAATAGTTCATCCCCATCTGCAATTAGGTAATATTAGGAACCTGCAATTAGATATCATTAGGAACCTACAATTAGGTAACATTAGGAACGTCCCGCAATAAGGAAATATTAGTATTTAGGAATCTTCAATTTGGTGACAATATGAGTGAGGACTCGGCAATTAGGTAATATTAGGAACCTGCAATTAGGAAATATTTGAAGCTAGGAATCTGCAATTTGAAAACTAATCTGAAATTAGAGGAGTTAGGAATCTACAATAAGGTAACATTAGCAGTTAGGAATCTGCAATTAGGTAACATTAGAAACCTACAATTAGAACAAATTAGTAGTTAAGAATCTGCAATTAGGAATGATTAGGAGCTATGAATCTAAAATTAGGTGATTAGGAGTTAGGAATCTGCAATTAGGCAACATTAGGAACCTGCAATTAGGTAATTGTAGGAGTTAGGAATCTTCAATTAGGTAACATTAGGAGCCTGCAATAAGGAAATTTTAGTAATAAGGAATCTGCAATTAGTCAATATTAGGAGTTAGAAACCTGTATTAGGTAATATTAGGAGTTAAGAATCCGTAAGTGGGTAATATTAGGAGTTAAGAATCTACAAATATGTAATATTAGGAGTTAAGAATCTGTAAATGGGTAATATTAGGAGTTAAGAATCTACAAATATGTAATATTAGGAGTTTGGAATCTGTAAAAAAAGGGAATCTAGAATTTTTCTGCTGTAGAACAGAAATCCATTTTTTGTCTCACGTTTACTTTTATATTTGATGAGAAAACATTCCTTTTATTTGTAAGAAATTGGTGACATTCATTCCTTAAGGGTTTTCTTGGAAATGGTACTTATGTATGTTTTAAATGTTTAGAGAGCGCAACAAAGCTGTGAGTTCCTATTATAACCAGGATAGTATAGATACTGCTGCACAGAAGGTATTATTATTATTACTGTTATCATCATTATTTTTATCTTCCACATTTTTTGATATTTTAAAATTCTCAAAATTCATTGAGTATGAGGGTATGAGGCCCGCAATGGTTTGTTTCTTAAGTGGGGAAAAAATCTTCTTCTAAGAACATTTAAACCTTTTTCTATTTAGGGATTTAAACATTTTTTAAATCATTTATTTTCCTATCAGGGTTCATCAAAACTAAATATAAAAAAACGCAATATTCTTTAGTATAATTCTTTAGACTATCAAAATAATAGTTATATTTAAGTTAATAAAATTGGTTCAGCTGTTTCGATGTTTTCTTTTGAAACGAAAACATAAGAAAAATATAATATTTTTCCATATTTCAGCCGTCTGTTCGTTTAACCCCCTCCACTATCATGTACTCCAGTAGATCTAGTGATAAACATACTGATGCTTTGGTGAGTTTCCAACATTATAAACAAGAAAAGTTCCAACATTTTAAACAAGAAAAATTCAAACATTATAAACAAGAAAAATTCCAACATTATAAACAAGAAAAATTCCAACATTATGAACAAGAAAAATTTCAACATTATAAACAAGAAAAATTCCAACATTATGAAAAAGAAAAATTCCAACATTATAAACAAGAAAAATTCCAACATTATGAACAAGAAAAATTCCAACATTGTAAACAAGAAAAATTCCAACATTATAATCAAGAAAAATTTCCCTCTTTGCACTTTAATCTATAGAAATAGTTAGAAATGGATACTGCAAAGGTTTGTTTTTACAATTTTTTAATTCCTTCAATGAAAAAAACTATTTTCTTTCATGCTTTCCTTCTCCCGGTATTTTTCCAAAAGCATTTGCAAGATTAAGAACTCAAATGCACTTGTATCATATGTCGGTTCAGGGACAAGAACTTTTCCAAAAAAAACTTGAATCTTGCATTTACTGAGAGTAAATTTTGAACCTTAATTGTTTTCAAATGTTTTTCATTCAGTTTTTTCTTTTTAAAAAATTTGTACCATATTTTTAGAATTGCTGGTTTCCGTTCTCTTCCTTTCATTATTGGCTGTAATCCTACAATTCTCAGTGTGGTACGTAAAATAAGTTTATTATATTATTTTAAAGCCCCCCCACTCCCCTTTCCTCCCCCCGTGTGCTTGATTAACTAGATGCCTGAGTTAGTTAAAACGAATTCAGCTAAAATTACTCATTGCAATGAAGTTTTGAAAAACTTATTTTTGATTTTTTTAAAATCTGACATTTCTTCCTTTCCGAATCATTCAAGGAACCCTCCATGTAAAACTGGCAATGTCCGTTTTACAACAGTGTTCTTGAAACCTTTATTGGATCAATAATGTGAAACCTAATGTCGTTTTCCTAGACACAGCTTTCAAGGGTACCGTTGTGAAAAGTGCATTGCCTATCCTTAACAATGTAAAAATGTGTTCAAGGAATATTTAAAGTTAGCATCTTTAAAAATTTTACTTTTCGCAACTAATAATTATGAAGGGGGAAGGGGGGATGTACAGAAAAATGTATATATTTGATTTTATTTTCATAATAGGTTTTAAATATTTGATTTATTTGTTCAGCATGAGTTGTACATAAGAGCTTTCCATATCCTGAATGATTTGCCCGAGATGCATACAGACAGGGAGATAAATAATTTTAATAAAGGTAATTAACATTGTGTTTGGATAATCTATCAACATTTTATTTATAATAACAGCTAGCATTCATTTTCCCAATATGTTGTTGTCCATTTTGCTGTAGTTCAATTTGAAATAAATTTGAAATGTGAATGAGACATTAATCTTTAAGGGAGATAATAATTAGGTTCCCCTAGGGATAATAGTTAGTTTATAGGGAAGATAAGTAATTATCTTCCTCAGGGGCGGGTGTAATGCGTATACAATGGATGTGGGGAGGGGGCTATAGGGGTGAACCCCCTCCCACCACCCGGGAAAGTTAAAAAAGGTTTAACCCCCACCAGATAAAAATCCTATATCCCTAATCCTACTTTTTGTTGTGTGGAGAATTTAGACGGCAAGTCATTTCATATGTTAAGACTTTATTAAGCTAAGCTTTCAAGGTCTATTTACAATAATATATACCCTAACATGTCGTCTCCATCTCAATTTTTATGTACTCTCATAACAGCCCTGCTAAATAGTAATATACATAGTATTTTATTTTAGTTCTGAGAGCGCTGCTGGACGATCATAAAGAAGTTGTAAGTCAGTTAGCTCAAGGGTTCAAGGAATCCAGAAAACATGTACAGGTCTAGTACAATATATGTTCACTGTACACTCTACAGTAGGGTACAGGTGTGTGGTACAGTTCAAAAGAATTATTATATGCACTGTAAAGGGTACAGGTGTGTAGCACAGTACAAGGTAATTGACATAAGTACATCAAGCAACAGGTGTGAACTGTTTGGTATATTAGAAGATAATTGTGATATGTACAGCAGGGTATTTAAGTGTGTAGTACAGTACAAGATAATTGTTATATGTACTCACAGACTACACAGACTGCGCATACACTCTACCTGGATAGGCTGACATCTCGCGGCCACTTGTTGCATTCAGGGGTTAAGGTTTACAACTTTTAAAGAAATACTCGCAATTTTAAACATAAAACATAACGTTTATGAATATTGTCTATTTTTAAAAATTTTGAATTTCCTATCCAAAGGATCCTTAAATATCCCTGAATATAGATGTCTCCTGATTGGTCGTGTACAATGCTTGTACACAATAGAACATGCTGTGGAAAATATCGCATATTATAGGTGTTAATCGATCTCTGTAACTCTCTTATCTCTGTATGTACTGCATCGGAGTACATGTGCACTGTGTAGTAAAGTACAAGATAATTGATATATGGACAGTAGTGTACAGATATGATGTACAGTAAAAGAAAATCTTTATTTATGTGAAATTTGGACAAGAGACATGTTATATATGTACACTGGGATACAGGTGTATAGTTCAGTAAAGTACAAGAGAATAAGAGAATTTTTATTTGTATAACATTGAAAATAGGTTGAAAGTAGTGTACAAAGAGAAGAACAATATGTTAGTTAATAAGGTTTAATTTCAGATGTAACATTCGGTTTTGACAATTTTTGTGAAGATAATATTTGATTTAAAGATGTCTTTATGGGCAAATTTTTAGTTTGATGCTATATTTATTGTTTATTTTGTTTATCAAAGCTTATTTTCTTAGGAATCTCATGTTTAATTAGATTCGAAACCATTCTAGAACATTTATAAATAAATTAATCAATTCCAGATGTCACGAAATCAGAGGGAATATCAAATGACATAAAATGAATTAATATACAAAATAAAGGGCGTAGACTGTAGATTGTAGATTGTAGAAAAAGTCTGAACATGTAAAAGCATTACAATTTTGTGTTGATGTTGAACACATCCACAATAAAGTAATTAAAACAGTTTCTGAAAATATATTTATTTGTCTGGATTTTTTTATCGATACATAAACTATCAAAATCAATATTAGAAAATAAAAGGTGTAAAACACACAAGAAAATAAACAAAAAAAAACTGTTTAAAAAGATCGTTATAAGAAACAAAAAACTAACTAATCAAGACATGTAGTAAATATTTGCAACATTTTCCCCGATTTATAGAATGTTTAAATGGGGGGGGGGGGGTCATAAGCGAATTTTTCGTAAAAAATGTAACGAGTTTTTTTATCGTATTCAGGATGATAATGTTGTGGCAGGATTCCTAGACCGAACTCTAACATCTCGTCTTGGTATAAGAATGCTGGTTCATCATCATCTTCTTCTACAGGATTCAAGGGTAGGTTCCTGCGCTGCATCTAGGTCTTAACATAGAGTAGGGTCCCGCGCTGCAATTGTCTTTAAATAAAATAGGTAGCCCCGCTGGTTCATCATCTTCTTCTATAGGATGGGATGCAAGAGTAGGTTCCTGGGCTGCGTCAAGGTCTTAATATATAGTAGGTTACCGTGCTCCAATTGTCTTGATGTAAAGTAGGTTGACTCATTATCTTCTTCTACAGGATTCAAGGGAAGGTTCCTGTGCTGCATTTGTCTTAATGGAGGGTATGGTAGGTTCACAAGCTGCAATGGTCTTAATAAAGTGTTATCATGCATGTTGCATCATTTTCTTTTTATACAAGATAAAATGGTAGGTTCCTGCTGTTCATTAGTCTAAATATAGGATTGGTTGTTCCGAAAAGTGATGTTCCATCCATCATTCCTCCGCAAAAATTTGTTTTTCTTATTTTATTAGAAAGCTCATTTTTAGGCTTCAAAGAAACTAAGAACTATGCACACAGCTCAGAGGAAAAGACTTGAAAAAAATAAGTTACTGAATTTACTAAATCTGTTCTGTTTTAGGCAGCACATATTGGAATGATAAACCTGAATATGAACCTGCGGGAGCTAACTTCACGCTGGTCAGCTTTTGTTACAGAGATCGCAGTCGACAAGTATGGGCACGCACCTCAGATAAAGGTATAGATATATAACACTAGATAACACTAGATAACATCGCAATTTCAAGTGACTAATTCACATTCCCGATTCAGGACGGTAACAGCCGAGAAATATTTCGTCTTCGGAAAGTAAAAATTTCCTTCGTTTTCTCTGTCTTATAAATCTTCAATCGAAACTGGTCAATTTTTTAAAAGACAAGGTTTGAAGGATCTGTTGTGAATTCTAGACAAAGAGTTTCATTTGAAATTACGTGTGTACGATCCCTTTAATGAACTAATACTTCAGTCTCTTCACACCAGGTTTACCCTCCTCATGTTTTTATTTGATTCTGTATCTGTATCCATGTGAACTAAGAAGTATCACGTCTGTACAAAATGCTGACTCTTTGTTATATAATACTGAAGGAAAGTAAAGACTTAATGTCTGTTCCTAACATGCTTTAGCAGCGTGTTTGTACAAAACTGCAATACGAAAGCTACAGGGGGGAAGGGGATGTCCACCCCCCCCTCCCCCTTTTGAAAAAATAGGGCCACAAGTATAGAGAGCAGGAACGTTCTTCTATTAAATAACTTCCAGTATATATATATTTCTTATAACTTATTACTAGAGGGTTCAGAACTAGAGTCAATATCGATATCGCACGTGTAGACTGTAGAGATGATATCAGTACTATGCCCCGTATCCGTTCTATCTCATTCTGTTGAATCTTGTGGAACTAGTTTAACGCGGCCAGGCATCATATATATAATATGTATGCATATATTTATTTTTAGCAATAGATGGCCAAACGGCTGAACCAAATTGGCTGACATTTTTTGAGGGAATGCATGGGTATCCTGGGGTGACATAAGCTAAATTTTTTATTCTTTTTTGAATTTCCATGGACTCTTATCATTCTTTAATACCAAGGTAAACGGTAGGAGTAACTACAGTAATAATATAATCCTGGGCAACGCCGGGATCTGAGTCTAGTGGTATATGTAATATATTTCATGAGTTTGCACAGAAAGAATCAGTTGCACAGCTGCAGACAACCGTACATCCATTCCTAATCAAGTGTACAGCTGCAGACAACCGTACATCCATTCCTAATCAAGTGTACAGCTGCAGAAAACCGTACATCCATTCCTAATCAAGTGTACAGCTGCAGAAAACCGTACATTTGGTCATCTATAAAGTCGCGTATTTTACTGGTTGACTCTGTACATGAATGCCATAACATAATTACAAATCGATGCATGCTTTAATAGAAGGAGATGGCGAGGATTACTTCTGAGATCTCTTTTCTGTTTTACTTTTACCTTTAATAAAAATTTCAATTTATTTTCTCACTAACTAAAACTATCAAGTTATAACATACAAAAACCAAACACTAAATTTCTTCTTATGAAAATCAAATGTTTTTCTTCAATTTTTCGAAATATTTTTAGTAAAAATTCTTAAATGGACTGTAAACATAATTTCAAGTGACCCTACAATTGCAAAAACACTTGAAATTATTGATAACTTTGTTAACAAGTATTTTTTGAATTTTAAAAATAGTATTATTTACCTTCCATGGGATCAGATCAGATCAAGATATAAAGGGTACCGATGTTAATCAGACACGTTATTTTCTGAATAGAGGGTGNTTGTGATATTTCCCAAGAACAATGCCTTATTTTATAAATGTTCTAGACGCCAAACTTATCTAATTTTTTTCTTTTTTACAACTACTTTCTGTTTTTCTGTCCCCTCTTGTACTGTCTAGATTCACGCAGAGTCTGCGTGAACAGTGAACAGCGAACAATGAACAAATAAATAATTTCCTGTTCACGTTCATCCCGCGTGTTCATGGGTATACATGGGGAGGCCGGTCAGTCTAGTATATTAGAAGCGGAGGAGGTGGGATGGGGTTGAGGGGGAGGGGGTCATGCAACTAGGTCAACATTTATTACTGAACATATAAAGACTGGACTTATAGACCGCTTCGTAACCCCTTTTTTATTGGCGGATCCGCAAAAATATGCGAATCCACGGGAGAATTTCGTTTATATTTCGACAATTTGGGTTTTCTTTAACAAAATCAAAATCATAACGAAACTCTTAATATCTCTGGTAATATTGACAGCACAAAAAAAATAGACCTCATTTTGGAAATGTTGTGGTTGTTGTTTTGCTACTGGCATGTTTCTTGGGCCACCCTGTAGATTTATCAGATTCATCAAAAAATAAATTTCTTGTTTAGATATCTGGGCACAGTCCCTTGTTCCCGTATATAGAGATGCCCCTGGACTATATTCTTCCTGAACTACTGAAGAATGCAGTTAGAGCTGTTATAGGTATTCAAACGCTACACAAATAATAACATCCTATTCAACTAGCTCTTCTAGATATTTGTTCAATGACATTTTTTTTCAATGAAAATTTTCGTTTTTATAAAACAGTTCCTATTTCTGATGGTTTTTTGCTTTTCTCTTACTAATGTCTTAACTCTAAGTCAAAGTCAATGTTTTTATTTTTTGGTTTATTAAAGATAATCATTACCTACAAAAATTCGAGAAATTATATGATTAATATTGTTCTAAAAAGCATTTTGTTGTTAAAATCTTTAAAATGTTTCCATGGTACCGTGTAACCGTTACAATCATTTTTGGTAGTCTTTAAAAGCAAAGCTAAGGATCAGAATCCGCATCAGTAAAACAAAAATATGCAGATCCACGGATCCAATTCTAAATGCTAAAATTTCAGCCATGTAAAAGCAAATTTCTCACAACTCAAATCTTTAGAGTAAATTTATTAACCCAATGCTTAACTGAAAAGTAAAACCGGCTAATGGGATGAATTTGGACCTGGATCAAGATTCTAGATCTTGAGCACTGTATTAAAAAGAATTGTCACTTTGAATTACTATTTCCTTTTAAGAATTTAATCCTGGATTGAGTGGGAAGAGTTTGCCTCCTATTCATATCACCTTGGCGAGCAACAATACAGATTTTATTATTAGGTAAATTTTATTTTTTAACTTAAAAAAGTCTCTTTACTTTAATGGTAAAACATATATTTAAAGGGACATTTGAAAAAATGAGCTGTTGTAAATCAGATATGGGGTTCAAGGGAGCTGTTGTAAATCAGATATGGGGTTCAAGGGAGCTGTTGTAAATCAGATATGGGGTTCAAGGGAGCTGTTGTAAATCAGATATGGGGTTTAAGGGAGCTGTTGTAAATCTGTTAATTGTATTATGACTGCAGTCTTGAATCTGCTCAATTAAAAATACGTTGTGTCCTCTTTAATGTTTTTATCTTACATTATTGTATTATTCTATTTAGGATATCTGACAGGGGTGGCGGAATACCTCATGCCAAATTAGCCAGCGTCATGAGGTGAATTTTTTGTCTCAAAGGAGTTAAGTATTTACCAAAATCATGCATAGTTTGAAATACAGGATGTCCCACATCAAATTAGACCGCGTCAATGGGTCTAAATCACGATTTGGTGGACAAATCAGAAAATTTAAGAAGAATGAAGCATTTTGAAAAATTTAATAAAGCTAATAGATTTTTTTTAGCAGAAAATGCTGGATTTTTCGAGTTTCATGTGCGTATTTTGGCGTTAAAGATTGAAAATAATCTAATATGATATGTAACGCTCAGTTTCTAAGGTTCAGGACAATTGCTTGGAAAGATATAGAGATTAGAAAGAGTTTGTGGCCAAAAATCAATTTTATTTAATAAACCAATATTTTAAATTATAGTATTTGAATTGTATTACTTTTGGAGGGAAAATAAGTAGTTTATGAGAGGTTGCTCAAAAACGGTAATGGGTATTTCCTCTTCTCTTAGTCAAAGCATTGCAATCCTAACGGTGGGGAGAGGTTTCCCTCTATGCTTGATTTATGAACCTCTACTCCAGGTACAACTTCACCACGGCCGAGGAGAGTACAGAGGAGACCTTGAACAATCAGGGGATATTTGCAAACATGATGGAGGAGGTCAATAGAACTACATCAGGACCTATGCATGGGTAAATTCCTTTGTACATAAAACTTTTGTTATATTTTACAGATTTGGGTTTGGTTTGCCAACTAGTTCAGCGTATGCCCAGTATCTGGGAGGTAGCCTAGAGATCCAAAGTCTACAAGGATACGGAACAGACGTTTTCCTTCGTCTAAAACACCTGGAGTCAGAGAACAGAGAGCTGAGAATATAAATCTGTTAATGTTAAACACTATTTACTAATTGTGTAGTTGTCTATGATATCTTAGTAAAGGGTTTCTCCAGATCAGATGTTATTGAACCTTCCAAATTCCAATATTTAAGGAATAGAACAAATAGCAATTGTGCCAATTTCAAGAAAAAAATCTCTCATGGCCATTTTTGACGTAAACCTGGCAATTTAAATTTGCGATAAACCCTGCATAGTTATGTAGAATTTTTATAATCTAGCATGTGGCAATGGTTTAAACGCTCAAGTCTCATTTTAAGTACAGTAGTATGGAATTATATCAAAACAATGAAGACGACTTTTGATGTCGATTTTGATTCATATCAAGCTCTTAAACAGCATGGATACACATAAATATAGAAGTCAAGAAAAGCTTTCAATTAAAAAAGGTTCTCTTGAATTAATTGTAAACTTGTAATTCGAATAAAGCTTGACAATAATCAAAACCTTTTTTTAAATCGTCTTCTTTGTATTGATATAATCGCCTACCACTGATAAATGTGTAGTCTAGTCAACGCAATAATATTGTTTGTGTGATTTCTACTGGCCCTTAATTAATAGAGTAACAATTATGTTCATTTCCTTCTTACGTCTCTATGCAGAAATTCGCTTAGTCACTTTTCAAAGGTAACTTTGAATATTTGCATCTTTTTGCTTCATCAAAAACTAACTGTTGTGATTCAATATAGGGTCAGTTGGAATTCCATTGGCAGTAATTTTAATACTTGTGTTTTCTTCTCCCTTTCAACAGCAGTTTAAGCTAGAAAATATGTTGATTTGCTTTTTGGCATTAAAAAATATTCCGGAAATTCAACATGGAGTAAAGTTGTGAATTTATTTCAAAATGCTTAATTTAAATTTGTGAATTTTGGGACCATATTGCGCAAAATACTTGTTAAGAAAGGGTTTCTAAAGGGACATATTTAAAGGCCATTTTATTTTGAATGTTTAATAGCAGTATATTCATTACATGCATAGATTTATAAAACTCATTGTTAAGAAAATACTCTTAATTGTTTCTATTATAGCAACTACCAAAAAGTCTACCAGTAAGATATATTCTCTCAGTTCAAGTTATATTGGGACTGTAAGCGTAATTTAAAGGACCCTCCACACAAAGATGGCAATGTCCGAGTTACCGCGGTACCCCTTAACAGTTTAAAGAAATTAAAATATTGATATCTAATTCATAATTGATCAGACAAAGGTTTCAAGGGTACCATTGCCATCTTTGTATGAAGGGTCACTTAAAATTACGCTTACAGTCCCTTTAAACAATAAGCAACACATACATTACAATGTAATTTTTGAATTGTAGACCATTTATAGAAATATTAATCTTGTTATATTTCTAACTGTATTTTATATTTATTTATATTTTATTAGATTTATGTAAATTCATATATTTATAACAAATCAACTCAAATCCTAAAAATGTACAATATTATTATATTTAGTAGATTCTTAGAATGGTATTTAGTAATTGGGGTATTTATTTCCCAAAAATACAAGGTCATGAGGTAATAAGAAATGAGGCAGAAATCTGGGAAGATTTTTGGATCATTGATATTAATTCCCTAATTAAAGGGCTATTTTTTATAGCTTTTTTCTACTGTAGGAAAATATAAACCCCAATCAATACATTGATAATTAGCACAATGCTTTTAATGTTGCTAATAAAACAGATAAAAATTAATTTCAAAATATAAGAATTGACGTAATCTAAACTTTTATGAGGCACAGTTACTGAATGAGTGAGTCATTGAGAAAGTTTAATGAGTGAAAGTGAGTGATCAAGTCACAATTATTTACCAGGTTGGCCTTTGTTCCAGCAAGCGGCGACTTTGACTTTGGCTGTGATGTTTGAATGAAAAATTATAACAAGAAATCTCGGCAAGTTTAAAGATTGTTAAATTATAGACCAAAAGGGGATTGAAGAAACCGAACGCATCTTGCCCTGGTTAGCAGAGTGGGTCGATTTTGGAACCAAGCATAGGGACCTAGTGATATATTTACTTATGCCTAACTATTTTAAGAACTTTGCAAAAAATGAATCAAAAATTATAAAAAAAATGGTGAGCTTAGAGCCAGTTTATGGAAATTATAAATAAAAAAATTATTGGTAGGACCGAAAAAAGTCTTTCAAATATCGATATGGGTAACAAACGATTATCTCAAGCCCCTGAGGACATTATATTTTTTTGATACTTATAAATTTTTTGAATTATTATTATGAATTTTTACGGGACTCCACTAAATTTTCAATACAGAAGCCCTATTGAGATTTTTAAAAAGAATTTTTTGTCTGTCTCGACTTTTTTATCTATTTTTTCTTAATAAAGTTTTCAGCTCACCGTTTTTAAAATTTTTTTTGCGAAGTTCTGAGAATATTTCCTACACACACACACACTCTAATCACTAAGGGGAAAAAAGGTGAAAAATTGATCCACCATACTTGTTAGTCCAGGGGTAGGTACCACTGCGTGAGTAAAAGCATAATCTATTAAGTATGTGAGTGACAGAGTCTAGTGCGTGATCTTGATAGCTTTCATATTTGTCGAGTAAGAGAACAATATTTTTGTCGATATCATTTAAGATAATGCAGGAAATTTTAAGGGCAAAAAACGCAATCATTTGCTATATTACTCAGTAAATGTATTCTGCTGTATAGTGTATAGGGGGAAGTGCAGTGGGAAAACAAAAACACTTTTTTTGAAGGTTAGTTGGATTTAAGTAACGTATAGATTCATCAACCATCATATCTTGTAAACAAATTTTAATCCATTCCTTTCGAACAATATCTGAACAATTCCTTCCCAATAATATATGAACAATTCCTTCCCAACAATATCTTATCATTCCCTTCCCAATAATATCTGAAAAATTCCTTCTCAATAATATCTGAACAATTCCTTCCCAACAGTATCTTATCATTCCTTTCTAACAATATCTGAACAATTCCTTCCCAACAGTATCTTATCATTCCTTTCTAACAATATCTGAACAATTCCTTCCCAACAGTATCTTATCATTCCTTTCTAACAATATCTGAACAATTCCTTCCCAACAGTATCTTATCATTCCCTTCCCAATAATATATGAACAATTCCTTCCCAACAATATCTTATCATTCCCTTCCCAATAATATATGAACAATTCCTTCCCAACAATATCTTATTATTCCCTTCCCAATAATATCTGAACAATTCCTTCCCAACAATATCTTATCATTCCCTTCCCAATAATATCTGAACAATTCCTTCCCAACAGTATCTTATCATTCCCTTCCCAATAATATCTGAACAATCCCTTCCCAACAATATCTTATCATTCCCTTCCCAATAATATATAAATAATTCCTTCCCAACAATATCTTATCATTCCCTTCCCAATAATATCTGAACAATCCCTTCCCAACAATATCTTATCATTCCCCTCCCAATAATATATGAACAATCCCTTCCCAACAATATCTTATCATTCCTTTCCCAATAATATATGAACAATTCCTTCCCAACAATATCTTATCATTCCCTTCCCAATAATATCTGAACAATCCCTTCCCAACAATATCTAGATAATCACTTCCTAACAAAATCTTAAACAATTCGAACAAAACCATCTCGACGATAGGAGAATTTCTATTTTTTATTTCTTGAGAAAACAAATGAAATGTCTAACATATTAAAGAGCAAATTGTGCCTCAGTTTGCAATTTGTAATTAGTTTATTAGTTTCTCGAAATCCATGCCTGAAATAAATTCAAAGTTTTCAAATGGAGTGTTGTCAATTTAGCAGGAAGGTCGGTCATTTTCTAAAAACTGGAATTCGTGGCGCTTTTTATTTGTGTTTCCAAATAAGCGTACTCTTTAGTAATACAGAATTGTAAAACATGTACAATCTACAGGGTTAACCACAAAGGATGAGACTTTCATGAAGACATAAAAATACTAAAAATAGTGATTTAAACGTTAGATTTAAGTTAAGGAATAAAATTCGTTCAGTCGTCGCTGAAGGCTTATTCTTAGTGGCTACCAGCTGTACTTTAAAGGATGCAAAGTGTGCAAAACCCCGTTTTTTAAAGAAGTTAATCTTTACAAATCAAATGAGCTAAACTAGGACTCTAGGACTATTAGGACCAATGAAACTGTGGAAAAGAAAGACAAAAGTTAAGCAATCTTAAATGCATTCGATGTCGATATAAATCAAATAAAGTTTCGCTCACCTAAAAATTAACGTATTTCGTAAAATGGGCTGTACGAAGGTTGTACTTCAGGGTTACCCATAGAGGATGAGACTTCAGAGACGACTGTACGAAATTAGTACTGACCAAAAAGATTCTAATACAATAGATGGCAACGTAGAATTTGTACACACTCAGTACAGTTGTATTCTGACGTCACAAGTGTCAATTCAGTTTTTGTGTCCGACAAAATTATTAATAATAGTGATAATTTTAGAATAAAGTGCTTTTCTTACTGTAAAATAAGTGCAATTTTATGTGTTCTTTCGTTTCTGTTTTTACACTTTTTTATTTAATCTTGGAAAACATGTCAACTAATGTGAGACAATTTCGTTTTCCTTGTTATATTTGACACTTGTGACGTTGTGTATAATTGGTTCATTTCTTTGTTGCCACCTATTGTACTTGATAATCTATTTGGTACTGACTATTTCCTTTAAATCATGATTTCCTGCATGTGTAGATAGTTCCTTTCTTTGCCAAATCATAATACGAGCCATTTAAAGATAATATTCGGAACAGAAAAATAAGTAGCAAGTCGTCATATGTAGTTTCAAGTCGTCTTTACAGTCTCATCCTTTGGGAGGTAAACCTGTATATACATTGTTTTGGACTAAATTATTAGTATAAGAAGCGAATAAACTCAGATTTCCTTTGCTTTTCAGTTCTTTAAACAGAAGGATGAAAATAAAGAATAATATATACTATATATATATATATATATATATATATATATAATATATTTCTTGACGAGAATTTAGAATGGATTAGATGAAATTATTCTATATTCTGTTTAATTTGCATCTAAACCTCGAAATTTCTAGAATACATTAATTAAAGCATGGATTACAGCAAACACATGTTACCTTAAAGGGACAATATACCAAAAATTGAGAAGCGGAGACACAATTAAACAAATCTTCTGTGTTGGATATACAGCTCTGATCATTTAAAATGCAATTTAGGTTCAGAATCATCAACTTACGGAAAATTTTATTAACTTTTTTGAAATTTAATGGAAAAACTTTAGTGTACTGAAAGATAAAACAAATTTGTAGTTTAGTTTTTTAATGTTTTGACTCTGAACCCCCAGCTAGATGAGTTTGAATTTAAATCCTTACTTTAATTCCTAGACAATTGTGTGTGATAAGGGTTCAATACCATGCATGTAATGTACAGTAGCAATATATTTGAATAATTAATAACAAAAAACATTCATGATAAAACAGCTTCTTTTTGTTTACATGTTTTGTCCGCAATAATTTTCAAATGTAACAAAACATATGTTAGAATTTTTTAAGACTTAAATTACAAATTACATATACAAAAAGATGCGGTGTTTTAAAACTATTTAAACAAAAAATTTATATTCCTCACTTTTATCACATCCAGGCAATGACTAGCACAATATTCTAAATCCTTAAAATATTTCTTTAAAAAGGTAATAAATAAAACTCAAGTATTTTGTTCTTTTTTAATATGCTAAATCCTTAAAATATTTCTTTAAAATGGTAATAAATAAAACTCAAGTATTTTGTTCTTTTTTAATATGCTAAATCCTTAAAATATTTCTTTAAAATGGTAATAAATAAAACTCAAGTATTTTTTTTATATAAAAAAAATTATGACTTATTGGTCAATTTTTACTTTGTCTTGAATGTCTCTTCTGATTCAGATTCTTTGGTTTGGTTTTTACATACTCCATCTTTGGTTTGGTCTTTGGTTTCGCCATCTTCGTTAGGTTTATCAGATGACCACAGTGATATAATTGAAACAATGCAGAAGACAACCATGAGCATATTAAAGGCAGGAGTCTAAAATAAATACAGTGAGACCCAGAAAACTGTGGAATAAGAAAACGACATTAAAGCAATAATTAAGTGTATTTGATGTTATTACTTCACGATTAGTATTACTAGCAACTTATTAAATCACGAATGTATATGCTTAAAATGAATCTTTTACTTTGCAAAATTGCCGTGTCTAATGTTCATCGGACTATTCAAAGTTATAACTTGAATCTATAGTCGCCTTTCTATTCCCGAGTCTTATGGTTCCTACAATATAATAAGAAATTAACAAATTTTTCAACTCGTACAAAAATTTAATACAGCGGGACATCAAACTGAGGAATATGAAGACGACTTTTAAGCGATCTTCTGGTATTTTATATTCTTATAAAGGATATAGCTTTACAGTACCATTACAATCACCTTATTAAATGAATTGTGTATTTTTTCACTGCACACTCGCTGTGTTTAAATCTATTTAAATCGTGACTTTGGAGTCTAAGAGTCGTTCCTAAGTTGTATGGGTCTTCCTTTATGATTTCTTAACTTCCCCGAAATCTTAATATTCCCCCAATATGGAAAATATTCCCCCAAATATGGAAAATATTCCACCAAATTTGGAAAATATTCCACCAATATGGAAAATATTCCCCCAAATATGGAAAATATTCCCCCAAACATGGAAAATCTTTATATTTATGATTATGAAAGATTTTAACAGTGTTCTTTAATCATTTAATCATGAAGACAATTTTATTATTGAAACTTTTTAAATTGGTAAATCTTCTTTAATTTCTAATCTTAATGGTAAAGGGTTTGAGAAACCCGTGTTTTTATTGATATTTTTAATATTTTCTGTTAGGAACAAAATTTGACATATTGTAAGAAATTCAAATGTTGGGGATACACATTTTTTTAATGGGTTTCTTACAATATGCAAAATTTTGACACGAATAGAAAATACATGCAAAAACGATACTATTAACAACACTACCCACGGGCCACGATTGGCGACGGAAGGATCATAACAAATATTAGAGATTACTTTTAGTAAATATAGCTTCTAAAAATGAATAGGATTAGTTAAAAATAAACACAATTAAATCATAAAAGGTTTAATGATACCTGATCCAATATTAAAGCTGTAAGAATAGCAAGAGTCGTGAGAATACCACAGATAACCAGAGCAGACATTTTAAAGGAGTTTTCCTCAATTCAGGCATACAGGCCGGAATCTGAAAACACATTGTGTTTGTGCAGGGTGTCCAAACAAACATGAGAATACAAGGAGATTCGGCAAACACATTATTTTATACAGGGTGTCCGAATTAAAAAAATAAAACATAGGAACAAATATAAATAAAATTTTCATTTACCAATTTTTTAAGAATAAAATCTTAGAAGTAAAAGTCTTTTTCCCATTATTGTCTCTATAATTTCTGTTTTGACCAAATCTAAAGGGTTGTTACCCTTTGCATTTTCATATACGATTTGTCTATGTTTGCTTAAGAGTTCAATATTTAAAAATGGTTTTAAGGTTCAAAGAAATCTATCAAGCAATCTTTAAATTATTTTACATATTTAAAGTTAAAAATATTAGTTCCGTCAGCATCTATTTCAAACTGTTGACTGTATACGTTTTAGGGTCTATATTTTCAATTCATGATGAAACAAAGAGCTATATGTATAAACTACAACGGGCTACTCAGGGCTACAAAGAGCTATATGTAGAACTACAACGGGCTACTCAGGACTATAACAAAGAAATATATGTAGATTACAACGGGCTACTCAGGACTACGGAGGGCTTATCTCAATAAACAACAGAGGACTCAATTAGGTTAATTTTTTTAAACTTTTAAATTTGATCAATTTCTGTCTTTTCTGCATATTAAACGAAATTAATTATGTATCTTATCGAACCAATCAAACTACAGAAAATAAAATCATAGGCAAGGAGATAGGTATTTACAGCATAACTTATAACTAAAGGCTTAAACTCGACTAACTGTCTGAACTATACCTTATAGTACCGTGAAGTACAATTAGTGGAGTAATGGTTAGCAGACTGTTGGTTGATTGAGTCTAAAAGAAAGCTTTTATTATTGGTTTGGTTGTGTACACAGTTTGTACAGTGTAACCTCAGATATATTGATTAAATCAGCTGTTCCATCCCCTTCTTTCTCTACTCTAAGCCAAAACAGTGACACCAAAATCTCGTTCTTACAAAAAAAGCTACGCTTTCTCTCTAAAAACAATTATTTAAAACACGCGTTACTCTCAATAAAAGTGAACATGATACCATACCCTATTCTTACAATTGCCATTGCATTGTAATGTGAATATAATGATAGTTTCTAAATATACTATAACATGTAATTTTGACGTGATTACATTTAATTATGTCTGAAAGTGAAAATAGCAATTTATTCAAATTGAAGTACAAAAAAATACTTTCAACCTTTGAATCCCAAAGAGTTACTAGTGTCAATTGGGAATTGCAATATTACTTTTTTTGATGAACATTTTTTGTACATTTTTCAGAAGTGTAATTTTGAAGAATGGGGTCGCGAGGTCCTATTTCTAAGCTGAGGCTTTCGACCTTCCTTGGTCGCGGGGGTCAACAACCTTCTTCACTACCTCCTCCAGTATCTAGGTACCTCCTCTCTATTTGATAAATTCCCCTTTTAAAAGGACTGTTCAGTGTTCAGTGTTGATTAATCTGGAGTTAGATATAACTCCCCGATCTTTGGAATTAGACACACCATGAGGCCTATATCTACCGCTCGGCACTTAATGATGTAAAACTTACGGTCTACTGTCTAATTAATAGATCAGAACCCACATTTTATTAATAGTTTTAAGTAGATGAAATACCTATATACTAAGTTAAACTTATTAATTTTCAACCAGCTTAAAAAAGAGGTAGTTACTGGTTAGACTAAGTCTGCAAAGTTTAATTAGTCGTTTTTCAACAATTTTAGTCACGGATTTATAAAAAAAGTGTAATCAATTGTTACAAATATGATTAAAGGATAGAAAAGCTGACATCTCTCCCTGTTTGCGTCTCTAATTTTCTTGAGAGAGAGACGTTCCCCAAATTTAAAAAGCCGTCCAGCTCCCCCAACCCTCCCGCCCCCTACGATCCTGCTTTTATATTGTACACGAAAAATTGTGTTATTAATACGTCCGGGAGGTCAGTTTTAAGACAATTTCTGGCCACACATCAAACTATGCCTATGTAGTTACATACGATAATTGTTCAAAAGAATTGTAGGGCAGGGCTTGGTCCAAAGAAATATAAATAATTAGCCTAAATATTCCCGTGTTTCTTGAAACACCTTGCTCCTGGTTTTAATTCTAAATTCTAATATTTTTTAAGGATGGAAATGTTGTCAAGCAGTTCTCGTGGATTCATGTTCGCTCTAACAGGATTTCTTGGAGGTGAATATTATTAAAAACATAAAGTCGGCAACCTACAAAATAGGAGTTAGAACTTACTAGTCGTTAAACAAAAAAAAGACGCAAACGATTGCCCAATCACTAAAATAGTACAGAGTACAGATACTGCAGGGCTGCAGGATTACCTGTAAAGACGACCTGAATCTCTCTTATATTTGACGAAACAAGGTTGAATTAAATCTTCTGACTTGAGTGCAGTTTTTAAAATGGCTTATTTAATGATTAAGATAAATGCTAATTTATAGATGAAATAAATTTTTATGAAATCCTTGAAATTTACATGAATATCGAATTTTTTGGCCAAGTATGAAAGAAACTGATATTTTAAATATTTTGATGGTAAAATTTTAAATTAAAATTTTACTAATATTTATTTTAAAAATATTTTAGGTTCTGGTTTTATTTACTATCTTATCAATCCAGAACGAATGAAAATGCGACAACTGCAGACTATAGGTTAAAAATCAAAATAATAATAATTTCAACAATATTAAGACTATTATTCAGAATTTTTTCAAACGAGAGGCTTTCATTTTTTTAGAGGGGGGGGGGACTCGGCACCCGTTGGGGCCCAAAAAAACCCTGAAAACCATAGTTTTTACTAAGCCAAGAGGGGGGGGATATGAGCTTCGCATGGCCCCTTGAATATGCCTCTGTTCTTATTGGTCTGAAGTTAATTAACAGAAAATCAAACAGTTAAATAATATTTGCCAAAACTCATATATATTTGTCAAATGTCAATGCAAGCAGAAGCCTGACATCAAAGAAAAACTTATTTCTTAGATAACATTTTTTCCAAGAAATCATTTTCTTCCTAGAGTTCTGCGAAATTAAAACTTTTAAGAATTCCAATTTAAAGTGAAAAAAATAATGATTTTTCTTACTTTAAAGTGAATTTAAAAATAACCATATTTTACTTACTCAAAGCAAGACCTTTGGTTAGATAATATTAGTCTCTGGAATAAGCATGTCATTTAAATTGAAACAGGGCCTTGAGATATTTTAAAACTTTTTTCTTCAAAGAATTTTGTCGTATTTCAAACCATCAGTAAAGTATTGCAATAAAACTTACAAATTTTTAAAAATTTAGTCTCGAGACTTTGCCTTAAATTGCGGTCTCGGATTTTTACGTCATTTTTGTGTTCATTAAATGACAATTATATCAAATTCGCTTTTGTGAATTCCATTACCATATTGAATGCATGATTTTTAACCTAGCTATCCCTTTACGCTAGCTATCCCTTTACGCTAGCTATCCCTCTACGCTAGCTATCCCTTTACGCTAGCTATCCCTATCCCTTTACGCTAGCTATCCCTTTACGCTAGCTATTAAAGAATAATATATACTATAT